CCTTCCAGTCACAGTATATTTTCTATCAGACTACTAAGACTAACTGATGAGGATAAGCCTCGTGTTCTTGGAATTTCAGAGTAAGTATCTTCCTGGATCTATATTAAACTAAATATTCCAAGTGTTACACAATGTTAGTGCTAGTGTTACATATGGTTAAATAGTTAACACTTACCATTATGAAAGATTCTTTTTGATACCTGATAATTTTTAAAATTCCACTGTTGCACAGCAGGCTAGAAAATATGGCAGGGAGAAAACATGAGGAACAGAAGGGTCTTTTTGTCCCATTGTGTTTCATTTTAGTTTGGCTGGGTGAAATTGTCATTTCCTTTCTCTTCTCAGGATAAAATCTAGTAAAACAATTAAATAAAGTGAACAATCTAATCTCTCCCCCAAAGCAAAAGCAACAAGCATATATGTTCCTTACCTCTGGGTAGAGCTTTAGTTTACTTCTGACCCAACACCTATATGTTCTGAGCAGGCTTCCCCATGGGATAAGTGCTGGTGCTGTTTCTACTACTACTGTAGTACGTCTTAACACACTTCAGTTTAAGAAGTGAAGAATTAGAATTCTCCCAATACTGCAGAAGTTACTGCACTTATTGCTTTAATCTCACCTTTATTGCCTGCTGTCAAATTTGGCAGCAGGGGAAACTGCATCCCCTGGATTCACCCCCAAATAAAGATCCTATTCCATCCTGCTCAAATCCATGACGTGTGCGCCAAACACATGCTAGCTTTTTGTCAAATGACATCCTCTCAGCCTGAAGACAAAATCTTAAAAACCAGCGAGCAGGAAAAAGATCCATTCACCTTTCATGTTTAGTTATTTTTGCGGGGGACTTGAACAGAATAAAATAGTATTGTGCTTTGGTGCCTAAGTGGAATAGGGTCTGGCCTAGATTTTAAATTTTAGGTGATTGACTATTGCAATCTAAGCATTCTCTGAACTGATTGGGGTGTTTAAATTAGGAATGTCCCAGGTTAAATATTTTTCTGATCACTTTATTGGAACCACATGAACCAAATCTGCAGCCCAGCTCAAATTGTTATAGAATGCAAGTGCAATAATTCTTTTAATGTGATGTTTAATTAAGTGTGGAGAACTTTTTGTCCTCTGTTCAGATGTTTGGAACTGGTATATTTTGGGTTCAGGTAGTCTTCAATCTGCAGTGCATTAGTGATTCAAAAAAAAAAATGCTTGTATTCTTCCCACCTCTAAAATTTAAGGAACACTATCTGTATATTTTTCATAGGAAATCACTCAATTAAGAAGTGCTTCTAACTTCTGGCATGTCAGAATTGGTGGCACTCACTTTGAGACCATAGTAAGATTTGTGTTTTTGAATGCTGCTAAAGAGGTATTGGAGATGCTGTTCTTTGAATGCACTAAACCCCACTGACTTAAATAAGGGTGAAAACCAATGTCTCTTGCTGATGATGAAATCTTTCATGCAGATTGTCTCTCTGTGATTTGGCTGGATCAGAAAGGTGCAATAAAGCGCAGTCTTTTGGAGACAGACTAAAAGAAGCAGGAAATATTAATAATTCTCTTCTGATTCTCGGGAAGTGTATTGCAGCACTAAAGCAGAATCAGAATCCTAAGTAAGTGATGCATACAAGATCTTATGAAAGAACTTTATTCTCTGAGAGAATCTAGAACTTACTGTGTTCTCTACAGCTTTGGAGAAAACTCTGCAAACTTGCATGCTGGGCTTTGTAATGTGTAAACTCCTATTTAATTTTGTTTTGTCCCAAATGCCACTACATTTCCTTTTATGTCTTAATTATCTCTTTTGTGGAAAACTATTGCAGGTGGGTCAGGAGAGAGATGCTTCTGAGGGGAAAAATCAGCAACTGTGTGCAAACAATCAGTACCTCTAAAGTACACATCTCCCCATTCCCCACTTCCTCATTCTGAGGGTGCATTTACCAAAGAGTTCATAAAAATGTCACTGGTAGTTGGGATTTGTTGAGGCGTATCCTTCTTGTGAGGGCAGGGAATTGGTATAAGAATCTATGAATTAAAATTTGATTGATATTTATTTATTTATTTATTTATTTTTGCTTGCTTGCTTGCTTGCTTGCTTGCTTGCTTGCTTGCTTGCTTTCATCTTTTGATATTGAACTACTTGGATAGTGCCTAGGAAAGCACCAGTCTGTGGCATGGGGGACTGGATAAATGCTTCCTTTTGAGCACATCTAGAAATAATTATTGGGTTGTTAAAGTGATCTTACATTTCATTAATGGTTCCCTTTTGTGGAATTTCTCTTTACTATTTGCTCCTTTTTAAGAGTGAAACCAAGCTATGTTCCATTCAGAGAGAGTAAACTGACCCGCCTGTTCCAACCATTCTTCTGCGGTAAAGGCAAAGCTTGTATGATTGTTAACATTAATCCATGTGCTTCCACTTACGATGAAACACTACATGTAATGAAATTTTCTGCTGTAGCCAAACAGGTACATATCTCTTGCTCCTGTGGTACTTTGGGGTCAGGAAGGGAGTGGTGAATCCTGGGTGTCATGTGCCACCTAGCCCTACAGCTCTGGCCTGCACTATAGGCAGCTCCTGACTGCAGTGAAATTGGACTGCCCTGTTCTTCTCTATCGACATTTAAGAAGAAATGGCTGTTCCATATATGCAAAACTAACAACAGTGAAAATGCGGTGCCTCTAACTGTATGGCTTATTTACAGGTTATTCAGACGGTCATACCTAACAACTTTGAAAGTTTTGTCCCAAGACTAGTCGGAAAGGATGGGAAACCTTTAATGCATTTTGATGCAAATATATCTGCCCAAGAACTTTCTGATATGGAGACCTCTATGGAAGAGGAAGTGGACATCACAATAATGAGCCACGAGGTAGTAACAAATCTAACCAGTTACATATGTAGCATACCGTCTGCATCAAATACTGTTAATTTTAGTCCAGTATTTTTAAGCCATTTTTTTAAATCACATAATGACATATGCTGCATAAAGTGAGATCCTTGGCTCCTTTTCAGTTTGTCAGGGATTATAGGATGGCCCATCCTACTCTTAAAATGGTTAAATGGGTAAGTTGTGTGTGGTTGGTTGGTTGGTTTGTTTGTTTGGTTTTTTTACTGAGCGAACATGAGAAACTTTAAATAAAAAGAAAAAGCTCATAAGTGGTTTTATAATGGAATGCATAAGATCCAAGGCTCTCAGTAAAGTCTCCTACCAGACAGCAGCTATTCACGCATTCAAGATGAAATCAACTTCTAGAGTGTATGCTCATATGCATATGAATATGCATATTGATCTGCCTGGGTAGGTAGGTGGTAAAAACTCCTTCCTGGAGCCAGAGGTGTAACAAAGCAGTCACTGTCTGGAGTAGTAGGACACACAGGGACAGGGATGACTTTCAGTTATCACCATGCTACTGGTATGATTTCTGCAGAGGCAGCTGGTGTCTTTCACTCATCCTGTCCCCATGTCAAGTTGGCATCCAGGGTGGCTGTCCTGGTCACCCTGTTCTAGTTATGCTACTGCCTGGAACAGAGGTGTTTAGCCTAAAACTGGTTGGTTACACTTCAAAAAGAAAGTGTCTGTTTTCAAGGGACAGACTAAGATTCATTGGAGCCCTGGGCCTGGCCCACATTGCCCCACAGCCACGGGCTCCGTTCCTGGCCAGTGCAGCAGGAGCAGTGGCTGAAGCGGGACGCACTCCCTCCCAGACCCAGGGCAGGAGCTGTGGCTGCCCCCACCCACAAGTTTGCTCTGGGGGCAGCCCCTCACTCCACATCTCAGTCTGGCTGCAGTGGTGCCTGGCAGCCATGGCCTGCCATGTCATACATGCCTGGCCCAGACCAGCCTCTGGCTTCATCTGCACTGAGGCAGGGGCCCCTGGGCCCGGGCCCAGCTGGCCTGTGCATTAATCCGCCTATGCTTTTCACAGACGGTGACTAAAGTACATTTCAGAATTGAAACTTTTGCTGAGAGGATGCGTTTCCTCTCTTGAATACATAATAGTAAGGTAAAATCTAATTACGATTAGAATAATGTTCATGTCCTTCTTAAATATAATTTTGAGTTGGGAGGAACACCTTACTTGTTAGATGCATAATACATGTGCTGAGGATTGAATAAAATACTGTAAGAGATCTCTCTAGAGAGGAGAGGCTGTCTATGACCACATGGTCTTGAGGAGTTCATCTGGTCCCTCAGCTAGGGAAAGCTGGGGGGAGCTGATGACAGTGAGCTAGGTGGTTGGTTGAGGGAAAGCATTTGGAAGGAAACTGAGATGTAGATATTACCTCGAGCTGTTTCTAGATGAAGGAAACTGGGGAAGAATTTGTTTTTCTTTTGCATTCTATCGTCCAAATCTAATAGTTCCCGTTTCATTGTATGGGCTATCTTTCTGTTTAATAAATCTTATTACAGGCAGTCCTCAGGCTTACAATACAATTGGTTCCCGAAAACTGCATTTTAAGTCAAAATGTCGTAACTCGGAACCAATTTTCCCATAGGAACAATGTTATAAATGGGGAATTCGTTTCTTAACCATGGTCGACAGTTGCATCCAGCTGGTAAGTCTGTTGTGGTGGGGGAAGAGACCTGGGCTGGGGCAAGCGCTGCACAGGGAGGGGGTGGGGTGGGTTGTGCTGCTGCGCACCCCTGGTCCAGGAGCTGCTCATGTGCCGGCTTGCAGTGGTGAGAGCGCCAGACTCCTGCCACTGGTCCGGGAGGGTATGGGGCAGGGGCTTGTGCCCTAAGATCTGCGTGGGGTACATGGGCAGAGCCAGGGCTGCAGTGGGCAGTGCTCCGGGTGAAATACGCTGGGAGTGGGGGCTATGCCCCCCAGCCACTTGCCCAGCTGGCGCAGGGCCAGCATGAGACTGAGCTGCTGCGCTGCCTCTGGATAAGTGACGCATGGCGGTGGGAACTGGCCTGGCCTCCCCGTGTCTCCAAGACAAGCAGCGGTTCTGCCACATCTGGGTGAGCAGCAGCAGGGCATGTACCACCTGAAAATGCACTGCAGACCCTCCCATCAGGAGGCCAGGCCAGCTCCCACCACTGCATACCACTTGTCTGGAGGCAGCACAGTGGCTGGGTCACATGCTGGCCCTGCGCCAGCTGGGCAAGCAGCAGGAGAGACAGGCCCCATGCCCAGCACCTTCTGCTTTCTGCCCGGAGCACAGATCGGCGCAGCCCCGGCCCTGCCCACCCCACACAGATCCTGAGGCATACGCCCATGCCCTTTCAGACTGGTGGCAGGAGCAGCAGCAAGAGCTGCTAGACAAGCTGCCACACAAGCAGCTCTTGGACCAGCGGTGCACAGCAGCGTGAGCCTCCCCACCCCTTCACTGGGCAGCGCTTGCCCCAGCCCCAATCCCTCCCTTGCTGCGGGAACATTGATCTGCCCCCCTTCCCCCCTCTTTCCTCTCCACCACTACAACGAACTTAACTAGCAGTAGTGTCGACGGCTGTAAAGGTGAAACCAGCATGGGAACCTTGAAACGGTGTCAATTTACAAATGTCATAAGTGCCGTTTGTTGTAACTCAGACAAATCGAGGACTGCCTGTACTGTCTTATGTAACTTGTTGATTGTCTGTGTAACTTCTGGAGCAGCTGACAGTTAAAGGTAATTTGCAAACCAAGGGTGTATATCTCATGAGATGGTAGGCTTCCTTAATGGAACTGCAGGGTCTGGTCAGATAATGAAGAAACCTGAGATTTGCAGGGGAGAGGAATTACTCTAAAGGCAAATTCAAGTCTGTTCCCTGCAGGTACACAATAGGGAGAGATCTGGGCTTTTGGTGTCCCTGGATATCAGCAGTGATTTGTCACAATAGGCATTTATATATGTCCTGGGGGGAGGGGGCACTTTTTAATTAAGGCAGCTCTCGAAGCATCTTGCACATCAGCATCCCTGCAGTTTAAAAATGACTTAATAGTTTCATAGTAGGTAGGGTCGGAAGGGATCTGAGCAGATCATCAAGTCCGACCCCCTGCCCTGGGCAGGAAAGAATGCTGGGGTCAAACGACCCCGGCTAGGTGATTTATCTAGCCTCCTTTTTGAAGACCCACCAGGGCAGAAGTGAGCACCACTTTCCTTGGAAGTTGGTTCCAGATACTAGCTGCCCTGACTGTGAAGTAGCACCTCCTGATATCTAGCCTGAATCTACTCTCGGTCAACTTATGGCCATTATTCCTCGTTACTCCCGGTAGTACTTGCGGGGAACGGGGCCTCTCCCATAGCCTGCTGGTTTCCCTTGGCCAGTTTGTAGATGGCCACCAGATCCCCTCTCAGCCTTCTCTTGTGGAGGCTGAACAGGTTCAGGTCCCTTAGCTTCTCCTCGTAGGGCCTGCCTAGCTGCCCCCTGATCATGCGAGTGGCCCTCCTCTGGACCCTCTCCATGTTGTCCACATCCCTCCTGAAGTGTGGCACCCAGAACTGGACGCAGTACTCCAACTGTGGCCTGACCAGTGTCGCATAGAGGGGGAGGATCACCTCCTTGGACCTGCTTGAGATGCATCTGTGGATGCATGACAAGGTACGGTTGGCCTTCCTGACCGCATCCCCACACTGTCAGGCCATGTTCATTTTCAAATCAATAATGACACCAAGATACCTTTTTCTGCCTTTGTGCTAACGAGAAGGAAGTTCCTTGGCCTATAGGTATGCTGCTGGTTCTTCCTCCCCAAGTGCAGTACCTTGCACTTGTCACTATTGAATGCCATCCTGTTCTCATCCGCCCACCCCTGTAACCTGTCTAGATCTAGTTGCAGCCAGTCCCTCTCCTCCAGTGTCCCCACATTTTAGTGTCATCTGCAAATTTGAACAAGGTGCTTTTCATCAGCAACTTGGACAAGGGGTGAAGATGTTGAGCAGTGCGGGCCCAAGGACCAAGCCCTGCGGAATCACACTGCCCACATCCCTCCAGGTCAAATAAGACCTGTCCACCACCACTCTCTGGGTGCGGCCCTCCAGCCAATTTGTGACCCATCTGACTCTGCAGGCATCAATGTCTCAATCACCTAATTTCTTAATGAGAATGGGGTGAGAGCCAGTGTCGAAGGCCTTCCTAAAGTCCAGAAAGACTATGTCCACTGCGACAAGGGGGGTTTCTCACCTCCCATTGGGAGCTTAGCAAACATGTTCCTTAGACTTTCATAGGTCACTCTGAAAAAGATATATGTAGTATGATGGGAATACCAATTTTTTTAATCTAATTTTAGTTTGTGTATATAAACAACTATATGCATCTAAGTACCAGTGTGATAACAAACATTTACTGAGGGAATTACACTTTAAGTTTGATGTTTCAAGTTTTCCTTTAAAAAACAAACAATCAAACAAACCAAAACATGTGTATTTAACAGTTTGTACAAGAAAAGCAATCTTTTGCCATTCATAATAGTTTTTACCACTATATAGACCCACTGAGGGCCAACATCTTTAGCAGGCGTGCTCCTTCCTCAAGTGCTCCTCTGATTTCTTTCTTCTACTCCATTTGCTGCTCCTGCTTTCTACTCTCTCCCATTCTCTACCTGATCTCCTCCTCCTCTGCCATCTGTTGTGCTGCCCATGTTCTCCCTGATCTGCTGCATGCCACATGTACCACAAGTAGCAAGGGGAGCCTAAGTTGGCCACCTCTGGCATAGACAACTTTCACTGGTCATCTACAAACAATCAAAACTCTTTTAGACACTTCAATAGGAAAACTGTTCAGCATAAGTTAGACATTAAGCTTTTTAGGTCACCCAAGTGGAAAATTTTCTTTGAGTCGCTTGATGCCAAACTTACTACTGGTTGAGAGAACATTCTATCAACTGTGAAATGTTCTTGTCCAACTGCTAGATTGTGCACATTCTGCTGCTGTTAAAATTAGTTCTCAAATATTTCACTCTCAACCTTATCCTATAAAAATGTGGGTTACTGCTTTAAAGCCCACAGAAGAGAAAATGATCAAGAGAATGCTAAAAAGTAGAAAGCCTTTTTCTTTAAGGGTTAAATTCTATTGCCTTGAAAATCTATATCAACTTTCCAAATTGGGCATTTAATTGGGCATAAGCCAAAATAGTCTTTTGGCGACTTCTATAGAACAGGGATTTGAAAGGAAGGTGACTGGTAGAGTAGTGTAGAAGATGAGCTCTTAGGTACAGAGAATAATTTGGCAAAATCACTAATGGAAATGAGACCGCTAACTGGTTCAAACAAACCTTTATGGTTAGGGACATACATTGCACACAAACCGGTTTAAGCAATCGGGAACTGGTTTAAACTTGTAACAGAACAGACCTTCAGTGCACATAAACCAGTTTGACAATAGCTAAACTGGTTTGAGATAAACCTGGCTGAATGTAGTATCAGACTACTGGTTTGTGTCAAACTAGTTTATGCAATGTCTGTCCCAGACCCCTTCCTGGTTTAACTTTAAATTAGGCCTCCCCAGCAGACCAGATGCTTTGTAGCTCTGGGCAGGGTGCTCTGCTCCACAACAGGGCTGACCCCTCTCCTCTACTCTGTGGCTGGAGTTCTGGCAGAGACAGTAGGCACAGCAGTGTCTGCCTGGTTTCCCCATATCCCCCCTCTCCCACCACTTCCTGATCAAACAAGGGATTCCCTCCTTCCCTCTCCCAGAGCATGGACCATAGCCAGCATATAGTATGTTTGCTAATGCTCAGAGGGGTGAGTGGGCTTGTGTTTCCAATTTCACTGGGACCGGCAGATAGAACAATATCTGCTTAAGGCTTTTTGGAGATAATCGACTGTTAATGTCCCTCTCTTCTCTCCTTAAGAAGAGCTTGAATTTAATAAGGGAGGCTTTTGTTTTGCTGATGGGCTGATTAAATGCTCCGTTATCAACTCCCTGCTGGCTCCCTGGCTGGTCAGGCTAGCAGTTGGGGCTCCCAAATCGGAGCATACTGCCAGACCACACTCCTCATGTTCAACACTCTGGAGGACAATGGAGGACTGCTCTAGTGCCCCCTGGCTTCTAGCCTGAGCCACTGCAGGCATATGCCTGCATTTCTGGAATGAAAAGGGAATGTCTGTCCACCTCCAAATTGGTTCAAACTTTGCAGGTTAAACTAACTTGCAAACATTGAATCAATTCATGCTCAGGCTTTTTGAGTGTCTTTCTCTAGCCTATTTGGTTTACATTTTAGTACTTTTTTTTCTTTTTTTTTTAAGTTAGCTTTTGACTTGAAGTGTTGGTTTTCTGTTCTAGTTGATAGATTTCTTCTTGTTTTCCTTCTTGTTTTTAATGCAGGATCTTTTGAAAACTACTGAGAACCTAAAGGAAAGACTAGTGATGGAAAAACAGAGTAAACTACTTCTTGAGGTGCAGATACGTAAAGAGATGGCAGAAGCAATGTTCCAGCAATTGTTGGAAACTGAGGAAACTTGGAGGTAATTTAAGACCACCAAAACTGTATGTTTGGTATAAAAGAGTAATGGAATATCATGCACATGGCCCTTTAAAGAAGCTGGTATAGGCTGGCCAACATAAATATCTTCTGTTGCAAAGAGGAAAAAGGGCTAGACAAAAGCTTGCTTCTCAAAATTGTCTCCTGCACTCATTTAAATGCATTGAATTCATTTTGGTGTTTGTGTCATCAACAGGCAGTAACAGTTCTGTTTTACTTCTTACTTAATAAAAAAAACAAACAACACAAAATGTCTGTAACTGCTTTCCAAAGAGCTGTCCTAAATTTAAAGTTTAGGAAATCTGGTCGTCGCACCAGACAGCAAAGCTAACTTATTTAACAATTTATTTGCCTCCATTTTTCTGAGCAGGGACTGGGTCCTCCCCTGCCCCCCCCCCGGGACCCCCATAGGGCCCAGGGGAGGTGCACCCAGGCCTAGGGTCAGTGAGGACCTAGTCAAGGAACTTCTGGAGGGACTAGATGTTTTCAAATCAGCTGGTCTTGACGATCTCCACCCCAGAGTGCTGAGAGAATTAGCAGAGGTCATTGCAGGATCCCTGGCACAGCTTTATGAGCACTCATAGTGCTCTGGCATGGTCCCAGAGGACTAGAAAAGAGCCAATGTGTTCCCATTTTTAAAAAAGGGAGGAAGGAGGACCCAGGAAACAATACCGAGGATCAAGGTAAGACTAACTGGCCTAAGCTTTTTGAGAGAATTATCCTGGCACATGTCTGCGAGGGGCCAGCAGGGGAGATTATGCTTGGGGGCAACCAACATGGGTTCATTAGAGGCAGGTCCTGTCAGACCAACCTGGTGGCCTTCTATGACCAGGTCACAAAATCCTGAGATGCAGGTGTCGCGGTGGACGTAGTCTTTCTGGACTTCTGGAAGGCCTTCGACACTCTCTCACCCCATTCTCATTAAAAAACTAGGGGACTGTGGCATTGATACCTACAGTCAGATGGGTAACTAACTGGCTGGAGGGCCACACCCAGAGTGGTGGATGGGTCTTATTCGACCTGGAGGGATGTGTGCAGTGGGGTTCCCCAGGGCTCGGTCCTTGGGCCCGCACTGTTCAACATCTTCATCAGCGACTTGGACGAGGGGGTAAAAAGCACCCTGTTCAAATTTGCAGACGACACTAACATGTGGGGGGAAGTGGGCACGCTAAAAGGAAGGAATAGGCTGTAATCAGACCTAGACAGGTTACAGGGGTGGGCAGATGAGAACAGGATGGGTTTCAACACTGACAAGTGCAAGGTACTACACCCGGGGAGGAAGAACCAGCAGCACACCTACAGGCTGGGGAACTCCCTTCTCATCAGTGCAGAGGCAGAAAAGGATCTTGGAATCATTATTGATGCCAAAATGAACATGGGCCGGCAGTGTGGGGATGCGGTCAGGAAGGCCAACTGTACCTTGTCATGCATCCACAGCTGCATCTCAAACAGGTCCAAGGAGGTGATCCTCCCCCTCTATGCAACACTGGTCAGGCTGCAGTTGGAGTACTGAGTCCAGTTTTGGGCACCGCACTTCAGGAGGGATGTGGACAACAGAGGGTCCAGACAAGGGCCACCCGCATGATCAGGGGGCAGCAGGGCAGGCCTTATGAGGAGAGGCTAAGGGACCTGTACCTATTCAGCCTCCACAAGAGAAGGCTGAGGGGGAATCTAGTGGCCATTTACAAACTGGTCAGGGGGGGCCAGCAGGCATTGAGGGAGTCCCTGTTCCCCCGAGCACTACCTAGAGTGACTAGAAATAACCATCACAAGCTGGCAGAGGGTAGATTCAGGTGAGACATCAGGAGGCACTACTTCACTGTCAGGGCAGCTAGAATCTGGAACCAACTTCTAAGAGAAGTGGTGCTGGCTCCTACCCTGGGGGTCTTTAAGAGGAGGCTAGATGAACACCTTGCCAGGGTCATTTGACCCCAGTACTTGTTCCTGCCATGACAGGGGGTCGGACTTGATCCGGTCAGGTCCCTTCTGATCCTACCAACTATGAGAGTTATTAAAGTGTAGCTATGTTAATAGGTGTGTTGCAGGTAAACCACCAAAAGCTTCTTAGCGTAGATGAAATTATATTGATTTGTAGCACTTAAAAATGGATTCTTAACTGAAAACATAGCGCAACCAGATCCCCTTTACCATCTTCCAAAAAGCTTGAAGTGGCTTGAGGCTGGCTGTCAAGCATTTAAGAGGCAAACTTGGTTCTAGTTCCCTGCTTTGGCACCAGCTTTCTATGTGACCTTAGGCTACGTGACCTTAGCCAAGTCGCCCAAGATTAGATAGATCTGCAATATTGTACATTGCAGTCAGACTTATCTAAAGCAATTCAGCTGCTTCTGCCTTCTTTTTTTCACTTTTTTTTTATGCTTCTATTTGTGAAAATTGAATAATAGTACTTGGTAGTGCGTAAAGGTACAGGTACTCAAACGTGTCATAAAATATTGGGTGAGGGGAAAGGGAAGGGGAGAGATAAAAACCCCAAAACACAACTTTTGTATCTGAATTTGCCAGATCTAGTACTATGACTTGCTTTACTACCTTCTTGCATTGAAGCTAGCCGAGTCCAAAGCAGTGTTTTGTTTTGTTTTTTCCCGACCCACCTCCCCAAGTCTATAGTTCTCCTGAACTGGCCAAACTAGAGAGAGGTGTATATGGGAGAGGGGGATCCCAGAACAACCAAATTTTACTGACTGTTAGCATAACACATCCACAAAAGCTCCCTGGAGGGTCAGTGTATATTAAGTGACATGCCTGCCTGCCTGCATGTTTTGTTACCACTGCAAGAAACTTGGGACTGGGGGACTTGCTAACTTTACTATCAAAAAAACCCAATTCTGGGTTCTTTTCATTGCTATAATGTAACTAGAGCTAACTAACCATCTTAAACTACCACTAACACACACACAGAGTGAATTTACTGTAGACTTAAAAATAAATGTTAGAGCACTATATGCTTTTATTCTTGTAACTTTTCACTTGAAGTAACTGAAAATCATGAGAGAGAATTCTTTTTAGCTTCTACAAATTATATTTGTAGCTATGGAAGGTTAAAGCCCTTAAACTTTTTCATAAGACTATTGAGTGTTCTAGCATGCAAGTTAACTTTAACATAAATCATCCCCCAGTAAACGCCTGGAAGATGTGAAAGAAAGTTATGAAGATAAACTGGAAAGTAAATTTGAAATGTATAAAGAAGCTATAAAGAAACATGCATATATGTGTGCAGTGGAACAAATAGAAGATCACTATGTTCCCATAGAAGAATTCATAGCTGAACAAGAGAAAGTTGAGGTATGATTTCATTTGGTATTCTTTTAACAGCCTGGCATTTTAAAGAGAGACTACAAAGAACATGCATCACTTCCCTTTAAATTAAAAAAAGAAAAGAAAAGGTCAGGGGGAACTTGCCTCAAAACAGAATTCTTTCTTCAGCTGTGACTTTGTTAACTAGCCAATTCAAATTACGTAAGGACAGGACAGTTCACCTAAGCGTAGTGTGAACACTCCAATGTCCACTGAGCGTATTGTGCTAGTACGGTAGGATATCAAAGTTACTGCTGTTTGTTTGCCAAACATATTCTTTGAGTATGTAACTAACTAGCACCAAACAGTTGCTCTATGTGGAAAAACAACTGATAGACTCCATCAGGCTTCCTGCTCTTCTTGATATGGACTCTCTTACAAACAGAGAGAAGGGCCATGCTACGACATAACCAGTGTGCTTGTTAGCAGTGCCTTTGGCACAGTTATAACCTTGCTCAGACAGTTCCCTCAATTTCCTCAGCCTACACTACCAAAGAAATAGATGATCAGGAGGATGATCACCATTCCTCTGATCAAGAGCATGCTGTGGTGAATTGGGTGTGACACTGTGTCAAAGGCCTTTTTAACATCTAAGTAAATAGCATCTACTTCTATCCCTTCATCCAAGCATTTTGTGACCCAGCTGTAAAAAGAAACTAGGTTAGTCAGGCAGGATCTGCCTGCTATGAACCCATGCTGGTTGTCTCTCAGCATTATTTTACCCACTGGTCCCCTCACAAATGTGATCCTTAACAATTTTCTCAAAGGTCCTGCTAAGGATGGAGGTGAGGCTAACCAGCCTATAGTTATCTGGTTCATCCTTCCTTTCCTTGAAAATAGGGATCACATTGGCCCTTTTCCAGTCCTCCGGGATGTGTCTTGAGCACCACGAGTGCTCAAACAGTTGCGCCAGTGGTTCCGCTATGACTCCAGCTAATTCCCTAAGTACCCTAGGATGAAGATCATCAGGGCCTGTTGACTTAAATACATCCAACCCCTCCACGTGCCCCTTTACTAGGTCAGCGCTAACAGTTGGTGGGTTGATATCTATCTCGCGCTTACCTAAAGTCCCATTTTTGGATGCATGTCTGTGTCCAGGAACACGCATGCAAATAAATCATTTAGGAGCTCTGCTTTGGCCATCCTATCTGTTTACTAGTAGCCCTAATACATCTTGAAGGGGCCCTATGTTACACTACACTTTCTTTTTGCTTCCTATATATTTAAAGAATGACTTTCTGTTATCCTTAACTTTTGCTGCCAGCCTAAGCTCCATTTCTGCTTAGGCTGTCCTCACTGCTTCCCTGCAAGTTTGAGCCAAGTAGGTATACTCTTCCTTGGTGGCTGCCCCTTGCCTCCACAGGCTGTAGGCCTCTCTCTCTCTCTTTTCCCATTCAGGAGAGCCTGGATTTTAAAAAGTAAGTGTATCATACCTTGGTATGATCAAAGAATAGACGAGAAATTTAGTTGAATAGACAACTTCTGTGTCGGTGGCAAGCCTTTACATCAGTCTATTGAGTGTGTTTCTTTGTCTAGGATAGAGATAGGAAAATATTACAGTTGAAACTACAATTTGGTGAGCAGTCTGATGAATTGTTGGCTCTGGGAAGTCCAAGTCCCATTGTATGTGCTACAGAAGGTGACGTTAAACCAGGTAAGGATCTACTATGAGTGTTTGTGCCCACTTCAGTGTACCCCTGGGATAGGATACAAACCAGATATCTTTTTTGCCAGATCTTAAATACGAGGAGATGCAGCAAACAAAAGAACAATTGCAGAGGAAGTGTGAAGAGCAAGATGAGGTATTGTTATTGTTGTTGTTTATTATTGTTAATCATCCAAGTTTAAGAATAAAAGGACTTGGGATTGTTGCAGTGATCAAGAGTTCTGTTCAAATAGGCACACCTTCAAATGGTCATGACCCCATCAAATGAGGCAAGATCAAGAGAAAAATGTTCTTACCTAGTATACTGACGCATTATTTTGATACTTCAGGTAGGTGTTAGCCTCTTGCATTTTTTGCATCTAATGATAGTTGTCTCATCTGTAGAGACGGTGGGAGTTGGAAATAATTGAGGCATGGTACTAGATGAGACTCGCAAAACATCTTGCTGTAGCCTTAGATAAACAACTTTTTTTTTTTTTTTTTTTTTTTTTTTTTTAGCCAGCTACAGATAATACTGACACGGCTAAGGCACAAATAGGATGATAATAGAGACTGGGCTCCAGAGCACTTCCTTCATAAATGAGTAACTTGCCTACAGGAAAAATAGTTTTATGTTGGTTGTTAAGCAAATTATGGGGTAGCTATACCTGATAAGAAAGTAGTGTCTAGTAGCATTAACCCAACTCCCTAATTCTTCCTCCTCCATCCCAACTTTTCCCACTTAAGATATGGATATAAGTTTGGTTTTTTTTTTTTTTTTTTTTTTTTTTGTTTTAAATCTATGAAGGTATTATAATTGAAGATTGGAACATAGCTAATGATCCAAAAAGTAAATTGGGGGCTTGGTCGGCCCCCTATCACAGCTGTGCTCCAGCCCAAATACTTCCCAACTAAATGAATAAGAAACAATTGTTCTGATAAATTTCTTGACTACCTTTTTATCTTGAGCTCTGTGCAGTTGTTTTTTGCAGAGAGGGACTTTGGCATCTTGTGGAGAGGGGGGGGTGTTGGGATGGGGGGGG